TATAAAAGGAGAAGGTGGCGGCCCCTGCCAGCAGGACTGGCAGCTGGTGACACTCCCACCCAAGAGTGACACCAGGGCAGCGAAGGGTAGGGCTGATGCAGCGGTTTAAGATACTTGGACCCATCCATGCCCTGCCTCTTTCTGCAGCAAATCCAGCTTCTCAGCAGGCAAAGTCCACACGAGGCCCCCACTAACCCCCTCAGTGCCACTACAGAGGGAGCATCCTCCACACCTGATTTCTGCCAACCAGAATTTCCCTTGGGAGAGCCAGAACTATCCACAAGCAAAGGTTCCCCAATCGCCAGGATGAGGTCTGAGAGTCGGCCACTCACAAAGGACTCGTGGTGTTACAAGCCAAGGTAAAAGCCCAGCATGGGGTCACCTCACTGTGCTCCCAGGCAGATCATTAACATCAATGAGCAAACTCTGATGACTCTCCCACCCCATTTCTATGGGATTACATGAGATGGGGATCAGGCAGGGATGGCGAGTGAAGGCAAAGCATGGGGACAGGAGCTGCCAGGCTCAGGGATGTGGTCAGCCCACTGGTCCTGCACATCCTTGGCACTGAGCTTGTTGTGTTTCCTCCCCACCCTGCAACTCTGACCCGAAATGGGATACAAATTACCATGCCCAAACCATCGCTTTAATCACACAGGAGCTGCTGTTACCACCATCATCTCAGCATCTTGATTTTCCTGATTATATTCTGCAGTCTCTGCTCGACAAATCAGCTCAGAAAATATTCTCTTTAACCTTCCTTTTCAGCTTCTATGACAGTAACTGCTAACCTCCCTGCCTGCTGCTCCTCTCACTGCTCCACCAACACCCTGACAACCTCGCAGCCGAGTTCCTCCTGCTCCGCCACATGGGACCTGCAGAACAGGACCCACATTGCTCATGGCAATGCAGGTTTCCTCCCCAGATTAACCACAGCCAAGAACACCAATCCCCAGCCAGACACACAGGTTGCCTTTGGAAATATTCCTGATTTTGGGGGGGGTATTTTAGATGCAATGAGGAGTTCACATTCCAGTGGACTGGACTGTGTATGTTTCCATCCGACTCCTGCGACGAGCTCTGCCTCCAACTCACCCTCTTTAACTTATTTGCATTGTTATCTGGCGCACGACAGAGCCAGCACGCAGACTTATCACAAATGTAATCCCTGTAAAACCCTATCTGCAGCCCGTTGAGATTGGGGCCTTTTCTTTACTTGCCCAAGAAATGTGACCAAAGAAAAAATGAACAGCTGTCGCTCAGCCCATTGAACGGGACAGGAATCGATGATGAACATTTCTGCTCCTGCAGTCCTCCCTTTCTGCAAAAAGCATCTTAGGAAACCCTGTCCTGATCAGAACGAAAGAGCATTCCTTTGTAGCAGAAGAATAATAAATGATAGCTATCAGGCTGCATTCTCTGACACGCAGGATTAAACTGCCACTGTACACTTATAGAAATGCTTAATTTTTTTCATCTCTGGCCACAGTAGGCTTGTCTGGAAATACATTATCACTGCAGATGCCATCCCTCTCCAATTAGTGCGGCTGGCAGCGCGGAATGGGTGGGTGACCTCCACGTCCCCCTCCTCACAGAGTCTTACAGGGTTAACTACGGCCATTTAACAGACTCCATCAAGAATTAATACAGCGATCAGCTCCTCTCCAGAAGGAACAACCACATTCGGTGGCGCAGATGGCAAGAACTCTCTCTCCCCTGTTTGACTCTCTTATGACAGCAAAACAAAGGCTTTTAATGATGTTTACCATGAACTGAATTAAACAGCTGAAGACCAGTACATAATCACAGCATTTTGTTTTCATATCCTTAAGTCTTTTAGCAGTGGGGCTTCCAGTTGAGCCTCAGCTACAGCTTATCTCAAGATATAGCCAAGCGCCCCGAGGCTCCCCAGCACCAAACCACATTCAGGCTCCTTAATTGAAAAAGACAGGATGTTTGCATAGGATGTTTGCATCCGTCAGGCATTAAAAGCGACAGTCATACCCAAGTACAAATGATGGCTTGGGCTCAGCTGAACTCCTCTGACTTCTTTCCCCCAAGCTAATACCAGTCTGGTTTTGGAGCAGGACACCATTCCTACACATGGGGATGCGAAAGAGCTGAAACCGGGCCGCCTATTCATAGAAGAGAACATACAAATCCTCACCCACTGGCCTGAGCTAATCCCTCGTGGAATGCCTAAATAATTGCCTGCATACAAAGATCTGATGACCTTCAGGAAAAGTTGCCTGGACAGCAAGTGGAGAGCATGGTGAAGGCGCACTGTGTGAGCTCCAGAGAGGAGCACCAGCAGGGACCAGTCCCGGGCATGGCACCAGCAATTCCTGTCCTAATCCAAACTCTGCCACTCACTGTCAGGTAGATGCTCAAGGCCTTGGGTTTTGTGCCTGTGAAACAGAAGATAATCCTAACCCTTTGCTTACCTGACAGGCGTGGTGTGAAGATTAATCTCTATCTACCCAGCACTCAGCATTATCCCCAGCAGCATTAAGCATCCCTAATGCGCACCCACCGAGGCAGCACCAGAGCCACCGACAGGGCACATGGGAGTCGGGGTGGTGCTGGGCAGCCCCCCAGGACACAAGTCAGTGACTCACCTTGCTCAGGGCCCTGGGACCCCATGGAGGGGACGCTGGTGTTGAGCACGTCATTGACGGCTGTGTCGCAGTAGAGGCCCCGCTGGACGTCATGCTCGCTGTCCGTCTGGTCGCTCTCCTCATGGCCGCTGTCCTTCAGGCTGTTCCCCTCCAAGTCCTTGAACGTGGAGCTGCTGGGGGAGACACAGTTGTGATTTACTGGGGGGGACGAGGCGGCCCCATCACCCTGCAGTGCTGCAGTGAGACTTACGGTGGTGGCACGGCTGCCACCTCATCCTCTGCAGGGACAGGGATGTCCCCAGCATGGGAGCAACCTGCACTAGTGGAAGGTGTCCCTGCCCGTGGCAGAGGGTTGGAACTGGGTGAGCTTTAAGGTCCCTTCGAACCGAAACCATTCTATGTTCTATGATTCCATGAGACCTGTATCCACAGCCCCAAACTTTCTTGCTGGCTGATGCGGCGCGAGAAAACGTGGCCTGTGCTTCAAAGCCCCAAAGAGCTGGACGTTTTCATTACTTTGAAAAGCCCTTTTGTGTCTCCACGGAAACCAAGCAGACCACCTACCATCTGATGCTTTGCAAAGCCATGTGAAGGGGGGCTCTGAAACCCATCTAAGTTGGTAAACCCTCAAACGTGACTTTTTAACTAAAGATGACCCTGTTGAAGCCACTGACTTTGATTCCAGGCGACATCAAAGAGTTTTTAAGTTAAGAAAGCACTACAAATCTACAGTTCATTTGTGTGCGCGTGGATGAGCGAGAGAGGCAGGCAGACAACACAGGGAAAGTACAAATAGATTAATTAAAGTGCTTGGGTTTGAGATTTGCTCACCAGAGATAGGACAGCGACAGCATCTTCAGAAAGGCAAAGGATGAAAATGATGCCACAGTGTGTTACAGACAGTATTTCTTGTTCTTAGATGCCTGCACAGCGTTCCCAACACCACCCCTTGTACTTAAGACACAAGACAATTTTTTTTGGGGGGAAACGCTGTCCTACACGGAGCTGCTGTTCGGCAGGCGCAGGCAACCCGTGTTACAACGCATTTATCTTCCCCGCAGTGAACCAGACCGGAATGCAGCAGCCACACGACGCGTTTCCACGGCTGACACATCTCTAAAGGATGGGCAGGTCTCGGGGAGGCAGCAGCAGCAGCAGCATTTCCCAAACAATACAGCCTGGGAGCAAGCCCTGCTGCGGCGGGCGGGAGTGCTGTTGCCTTTATCTTAGGTGTGAATGAGGGAAGATTAATAGATTTGGGTTATTTTTCCCTCTGCCTGGGGGCTGTGGCGTGGCGAAGGAGAGCTGTCTCTCTCACAGTCACATTAGCATCCTTAAACACCACGAGCCACGCAGGCAAATATACCTGCCCTTCCCTAGACCTACCCCGGCTGCTTAAACCCTGTGCTCGCAGCTCCTTGTGTTTTTAAGATGTAAAGAAATGGGATCTCAGCCAGGCAGATAATTGGATATTTTTACTGCTCGGATCACATCTCAACAGTTGAGGGATGGCTCCTGCTCTCTGTTGCACTCCTGCTACGCAGAGCCCCCCGGCAGAGGCATGGGTACAGCTTGCTGGCTGCACACCTCGGTCATTCCCTGGGGAGACGACGGGATGGAGATGGGTAAAGAGCTGCCGGCCACGTCCTGCGCCACATCCTGCACAGGCAAACACCCCCCCAGCGCCGCACAGCCGCCTCCTGAGCACGGTGGATCGTGCTGTGTCAGTGCCTT